TTTCCCTGTGAAAGCAGCACAACTGGGAGCTCATCTCAACTGTACACAACTGCATGCAACATGGGAAAAAAAAACAGGATAAATTAAAAGTCTGTACACAGTTGCAGAGCTCTGATCTCATTGGGATTAGAGATGTGGGGGATAGCCCACATAAATGAGGTGCTGCCACGGATAGATGAAGATCTTCAGAAAGAACAGGCTGGACAAGGGGCAGGGAAGGGTTGTGCTCTACGCAAAGGAGTAGCTTAAACATGCGGAGCTTTGACTTAGAGCAGGGGAGGAGCATGTCAAGAACATGTGGTACAAATCAGAGAACAGACCAACACATATGATGTCTGAGGAGATGTCTGCTACAGACTACCTGATCAAGAGCAAGTAGAGGAAGCCTTCTTTACACAACTGGAAAAAGCCCACACGATCACAGGCCCTGGTACTCACAAAGTACTTCAACCACACCAACATCTGCTGGAAAGGCAACATGGAAGGACAAAAGCAATACAGGAATTTTCTGGAGTATGTTGAATAAAAGTTCTTGATAGAGATAACAAGCCAACTAGGGGAAGATGTTGGACCTGTCACTCATAAACAAAGAACAGGCTGGCGACATAAAGGTTGATGGCAGCCATAATGAGGGTGGAGCTGAAGATCCTGAAAGAAGCGAGAAAGATGCATAGCAAAATTACAACCCTGAACTTCAGGAGAGCAGATTTTGGCTTGTTAAAGGACCTATTTGGCAGGATACTATGAGAGACTGCTCTAAAGGGCAAAGGACACAGGAGACCTGGTTGATCCTCAAAAAGACAACTTCCTCAAAGCACAAGAATAATTCACTCAGTCATGCAGGAAGCCGAGCAAGTGTGGCAGAAGGCCAGCATAGATGAACCGGGAACTCCTGACTGAGCTCAAACACCAAAAAAGAAGTACACAGAAGGTGGAAGCAGGGATGGGCTACCCAGGAGGAATATGGAGACACTGCTTAAGCACATAAGGATTTAGTTAGGAAAGCCAAAGTTTGGCTGGAGTTGGAACCAGAAAGAAATGTAAAGGGCAACAAGAAGGGCTTCTATAAGTACAGTGGCAGCAAAAGAAAGGCTAAGGAAAACACATGCCCACTGCTCACTGGAGCAGGGAACCTAATAGCTAAAGACATCAAAAAGGCTAAGGAACTCAATACCTTCCTTGCTTCCATTTTATACAGGTAAGGTTTGCCTTCAGTCTTCCCAGGTCCCTGAGCCTAGTGGCAGACTCTTGGGCAGGAAAGTATTACTCACAGTAGAGGAAGACTGAGTTAGGGAGCACTTCAGCAAACTGGACATACACAAGTCCATGGGACCAGACAATATGCGCCTGAGGGCTCCTGATGACTGGAAAAAGGCAAATATCGCACCCATCTTCAAGGAGAATCCAAGGAAATAAAGACTGGTCAAACTCACCTCATAATCTGGGAAAGGTGGAGAGCAAATCCTCCTGGAAGCCATGTCCAGGCACACACAGGACATGATGATGATTGTGAACAGCCACCATGGATTTACCAAAGGCAAATCATACCTAATCAACCTGACTGCTTTCTATAATGACATGACTGGCTCTATGGAAAAGGCGGGGGCAGTGACTGTCATATATATACCTTGACTGAAGAAAGGCCTTTGACAGTCTACCATAGTTTCCTTATCACTAAACTGGTAACATACTGACTGGATAAAAGGACATAATGTCGATGAAAATTGGCCTGATTGTCAGGCTCAAAGAGTTATGATCAGTGGTACAGCCCAACTGGCACCTAATTACCAATGGCATCCCTCAGAGATCAATACAGGAGCTGATACTGTTTAACATCTCTGTCAATACCTTGGACAATGGGACAGAGCACGCACTCAACAAGTTCATGGGATGATACCAAATTTGGGGGAGTAGTCGGTATACAGGAGAGCAGGGGTGCTATTCAGAGGGACCCGGGCAGGCTAGAGAAACAGACAGACAGGAACCTCATAAAATCATAGAGTGAATTAGATCAGAAGGGACTTCCAGAGGTCATTTAGTCCAACCACCTGCTCCAAGCAGGTCTAATTAGATCAGGTTCCTCAGGGCCTTGTCCAGTCAAGTTTCAAATAGCTCCAAGGATAAGATCATGTAAACTCTTTGGGCCCTGTTCCAGCTTATGATAAAAAAACCCTTTTTTTTATATCTAATCAGAACTTCCCATGTTCCAACTTGTGTCCATTGCCTCTTCTCCTATCACTGAGCCCCTTCGAGAA